TTCTAATTGTATGGTAGGATTTTTATTTGAAATTTTTTTTTAAAGATCATTAAATCTTTCAATTGTTTAAGAAGATTTAATTTGGAGATTTAAATCCTCTAATCATTTGGTAGGATAACAAAATTATTTTTTTTTTAAATTCATTATGAAATTCTTTGATCATTTGGTAGAATTCATAATTCAAAATATAGATCCTCAAATCATTAAGTAGGATTACAAAATTATTTTTTCAAAATTCATTATGAAATTCTCAATCGTTTGGTAGAATTCATAATTTAAAAATTTTTAAACCCATAAAATCTTCCAATCATTTGGTAGAATTACAAAATTATTTTTTTAACAATTTAATATTATTATTGTTGTTGTTGTTGTTATTTTATTTAAAACTAAATAATTTTTATTAAACAACTAAGATACAAAAATGTAAAAAAAAAAAAAAACTAAAACATGTTTTCGACTTGACTTAGCAGCTCAAATCAGCTTGGTTAAAGGCTAGTCTAATTATTTAGATGCTTGAAAGGCTCGACTCAGCAGCTTAACGGCATAGTTTCAGTGGCTTAGAGTTACATTTAACTAGTGAATTGAGTTACCAATGTAGGTTCTGGGTTGGGTTAGAAGTAACACATGGATGCTAGGATGCTCCTCAAAACGTTGCATTTTGGTTAGCTATAAAATCCAAAATTTTCCTCTCTCTTTTAGTTTTCAAATTTTACTCTCTCTCTCTCTCTCTTTTTCTCCTTTTTTCTCTAACTCTATATTCTCCAACTTCTCTCTAAGAAAAGAATGAATAGCCTTTGCCAAACTCAAGCAACCTAAAAACTCGTGAGGCATCGCCATTGTCACTGCTACGGACCACCATTCATTGGTCGTTCACTGATGGCTAGAAATGTTCCAAAAAAATATCCATGAGCTCATCACAACACCCTTTTTCATGTGCTTTAACTGGTTTTTTCAAAAACTTATGGGTTTTTATTAATCTAAGCTTAAAGTCACAGTTTTCTTTGCCACTCCAATGGGTGCCACCTCTAGGTATGTTGTTTCCCCTTTTTCTTGGCTATTCCTCACTGTATTTGATGACCCCAAACCTCTTGAAAGTGGGTTAAACCAAAACCCAAAAAACATCTCATTTCTTCTTTGGTGTCTTTCTCATTTATGATTTTTGCCTTTTTTTTTTTTTTGGCTTATTGACAATGGATAGTTGATATTGGTGATTAAAAAGACACAAGTCCAAATGTTCTCATCATCACTTGCTGATAATCGTTGTGTGTCAGTACTGAAGAACCCAAAAACCTTTATCGATTCATCCGTTTTCTTTTTCCTTTTGCTTAATTCAAAAACTAAAAAAAAAAAATTACCGTAAGTCCAAAAATAAAAAATGCTTGACACTTATACCATGAGAACCTTTTTTTGCTTTGTTTTTGATTTGTGAGGGTATGCTCAAAATTGTGTAATGATTTACTGAATTAAGGCTTTGCTGATCTATGTTTTTAGAATTGCTTATGTTTGCTTCTGTTTGTTGGTGTTTTGATTCAAGGTAATTGCTCTTCTAGGTTTAGTTCTCTACTTGTTCTTAATTGAGGCTTTTGACTGTTGATTGCTTCTTTGACTTTGTTGATTCTTGGATTTTTCATGCTGATTTTTCTCTTTATTGATTCCCTCTTGTTTTGCTTTATTTTTTGCACTTGTGATGCTGTTTCTAGAAATTGGTTAGGTGAATGGGTGTTTTTGGTTTTTTCTATTAAATCCTTTCAATTAAATGCTTTTGTCAATTCAAAGACTCTACTCGAAATTAATTCCCTGCTTGCTTGTTATTGCTTCTGATTTTGGGTACTACTCACCTAGCCTTTGATTGCCTAGATTTTCCCACGTTGAATTGCCTTTGCTTTGTTTGATTTCTCTGGATTTTGCTGAATGAAAAACACTATTTGCTAGGAATGGCCTTGATTGGGCTTCTAGACTGATTGGCTACTGCAGGACTTTGTGAGTCTGATTCTATTTTTTTATTGTGAATTTATGATCTTTGCTACCTTTGAACGTCTCTCGCTTTGTATACTTATAGTAATTCAATTTCTAAGCTCAATGAATCTTCAAGAATATTTACAAAATCAAATATTTTCCAACATCTTTTTTTATGATTTTTTACTGACTTTTTGACCAAAATTAAAATAAAATAAAATTAAAAGAATGAAATAAAACTTTTTGGATTGTTTTATTTCAATTTAAAATCAATAGCATAATTAAAAGTCCAATATCAAATTAAAACTCAAAGTCCAATAATAAAAAAAAGTCTCAGACAAAATGGATGTTTATAATAATTTGATAATTGATTTTATCCATCTAAATTGTCATGTCAACAAAGTCAATACAACGTTATTAAGTTAATAACCACATCAACATTTTTAAAGGTAAAAAATTGATGGAGTTAGTGCTTATACTAAGATTATCAAATGAAAATAATACAAGAACTAAATTTATATGAATTGTAAGATTAAATTTCAAATTTTGGCAGAGTATAGGAACCTTTGGCATAATTGAATGTTCATTTAATTAATTAGATTATAATAATAATTAAGAAATGCAACCAATGAACTTTTGTTAAATCTTAAATAAGGGAATCCCTTAAAAATAGTTTTAACAAGATAACAATCCACGTGCTGTTACAATTTAACATTATATATACTGCAACAGTAAAATATATTTCAAAAAGTTAAATAAACATGAACACCTTTTTGATACATTTCAAATATCTCATAGATTTTAAAAGTGAAAAAGTCCTAGTGGGTAAAAATAAAAAATGTCATCTTTTCCATGATAAAAAAAAGCCAAATGAATCTCAGCTAAGTTATGAACTAACCCAAAATCTCAAATAAAATAACTTATTCATTTCATCTTAGAAAATAAAAAAAATTAAAAAAAAAAACAAAGTCACTAATTAGTTGTTGTAATTTACTACGCGTTTTTTTCCATTAGAATCTTTACTATTAAATCAAAACTATAACCCAATGATAATATAATAAAAATAGAAATTTTATAATTGAGAAAAGAAAAAAAAAACCTACATTGTAGGAGAGATTGCAAATAATCTAAATGAAAAATAGGCGGTCAAATAATTATTAAAAAAATTCTAAATTTAGTGATTGCTTCTAAGACAGTAGATTTTTTTTTTTTGTTTAAGTGGATTTTTCAAATCAAGAGAAGATTGTTTTGTTTCTAGTTTTCAACAGAAAGGGAGAATTTTTTTTTTTTTAGAAACAAATGTAAGAAACAAAAAGGAAATTGAGAGAAAGAGATAATGAATTATGACCTAGAATTTAGCAATCAATATTCATTTAAGATATCACTTATTTGGATGAATGTACCCACAAATCTTCCAATATATAGAATGAATTTTTTTACGAAATTAAATGAAAAAAATTTAAACTTACAATCAAATGTTAGATGAATGGGTGTTTTTTTTTTTTTTGGAGAATGAAAATTGAAAGCAATAAATAGATAATGATTAGCAGGGAAACAATTGGTTACTTACATGAAAAATTTGAATAGTGCAATTTCATCTCCTTTCAAGCTGTAAAGAAGATCTATTATCTCTTGAATGAGGAAACAAAATAATTTTTTTTGAAATAAATGAAAGAGGAATACAGTAATGAGGAAGCAGTAGATCAAGAATGGAAGATGAAACATTTTTGGTTCTAAACCTTAAAAGATGAAAGATATAAAAGAAGGATAATTAAAGTTGAATGATTTGATAACTTAAACTGAATATATGACAACTTAATGATCTTATGTGGCAAATAAAAGCTACATATGTGGTAGTATACATGTCACAATTCTAAACAACATGGGATGAAAATATATGTATATTAAATAGTATAATATATATTTATCCTAGCGTTTAAGGCCTTTATGCCTTCCATTTTGAGAAAAAATATATAAAAAAGAAAAGGGTTGATAAGAGAGCATGAATAAGAGAGAGAAGGAAAAGATACTTATAATTATTATTATTTTGGAATTGTAATTTTTAAGAATTGATTGCATAAATTTTCATAATATATGCACTTCTTTTATATGCTTCTAATGAAATTATGTTAAATGATGATAGTTTTTTGTATTCAAAATTCTATTTGTTTTTATAATTTAATCATTAACCAATAATAATCGGTAAATTTATATTATATATACACATTGTTTTCAACAATTCATTTCTTTAGTCAAATTTAAAAAATATATAATTAAAACATAATAAGTTCTTTAAATAAAATTAAAAAAAAATAATATTAATTTTTGAAACCGTTGTTGCATGTCATTTTCTAGCTTCATATTAAAAATTATAGTTTCAACAAATGGAATTTTTTAGCCCATGAATTTCTTTTCTGCATATATTAGGGGAAATTTCATAAATAGGTATTTTAGTAAAAATATTTATTAAGAGTTAATATTTGATGCAAAGATGATCAATAAGTTTTACACATTACTAATTATACGATGACACCTCATTAATAAATAAAATAAATAATGATCAAATTTTTAAAAATAAATATTAATAAATTGCATTATAACTTCACTCGACATTATTTTTAAGGACTTATCCACTTTTTGTTTTACTTATTAATAAAATATTACTGTATAATTTTGTGATAGTATATAACACTTATACATTGTCAGTGCATCCAATATTAATTTTATTTATTGATTGATACAATGACAAAAAAATTAATAAAAATGAAACTTAAATATATAAAATTAATAAAAAAAATATACTTCACTTTTATGACTTTAATGTTCAATGATGTTAGTTTAAGATTACAAATACACATACAAACACAAACAAAATATATATACATTTAATCAAAATATACGTACAATTACCTTTGATATATGTACATTTTTAATATTAAAATCATAAAATAGTTTTAATTTCTTTTTTATTAATTTTAAATATAAATAATTTTTTCACTAATTATATTTTGTTTATTATATCAAACAATAAAATATTTCTATTAAGATATATTTTAAAATTCCTCAATTACTTTTATCCTATGATAATAATAAAAACTTCCGAGCGTAACGGCCGCGGTGATCCGGCGTCCATCCAACGCTAGGCGACGCGTCCTCCCTACACCGCTCGCACTGCAAACGACAAAAACTCAGTCTCGACTCTCTCGCATATTCAGTTTTCCCTCTCCTTTAGAAACCAAAATCAAATCTCTTTTCTCCAAGGTTTCTCTCCTCACACTCGATTATATCTCATTTATTTTGTTTACAATGCGATGCGGAAGTTTATAATCCCAATTTTAGTTTCTTTTTCGATTAATTTTGCAGTTTGTAATGTCTATTTTCGGTGCTGCCGCTTCCAATCATAACCCTAATAAATCATTTGAGGTATTCATTTTTAATTTGTGTAAACTACTTTATTCGATTCACTTTTTTCGTTTTAATTTTTAGTTTTAATTTTGTGTATGAGGCCTTTTTTAAAGCTTAATTTTACTGATGCTTTTACCATTGAGCTTCGTCTCTTTATCTATTTAGCTTATATAAATTAATGAGTAAAGAAATTTTTGTTTTTTACTGCATTTATTTAATTATTTGTATAAATTGTTGGCGTTATAGTAATACTGCTGTACAGTGATTCTTTCTTTCTTGTTTTTTTTTTTTTTTTTTTTTTGAGATAAATAATGGCAGGGAGCAATTTTTTTAATTAAAGGATGTGTTTGAGCTTAAATGAACTTTTGGTATATAGGGGATTTCACATGCAATTTTTAATTGTAGGTTGCACAACCGCCGAGTGATTCTGTTTCAAGCCTTAGTTTCAGTCCGAAGGCCAATTTCTTGGTTGCCACTTCATGGGATAATCAGGTATGTCCATTTTGCCTTGTTTCATTTATTGATTTATGTTATATTTCTCAATTTTGTTTTGTTTTGTTTTTTTTTATTTAAGTTCTTGAATTCGAGTAAGAAAATGAACTATCTAAATGCTATTGAAATTTAAAAATTGAAATTTCATTCCTTGCTTCATTTGTTTTCTTGTTAGGTTGTCTGAAGTTTGAAAATTTTTTTCCTTTTGAACGATTGCAGGTAAGATGTTGGGAAATATCGCGGAATGGTACAGCTGTTGCTAGTACACCAAAGGCATCAATTACTCATGACCAGCCGGTAATAAGTCAGAGTTCATTTTTTATACCATATAGAGACATATTATTCTAGTATTTAATTTGTACTTGCAATAAACTAATGTTGTTTTCTCCTTCCCCACTTAAAAGGTTTTGTGCTCAACATGGAAGGATGATGGAACAACCGTCTTTTCTGGAGGCTGTGATAAGCAGGTCAAGATGTGGCCTTTATTATCTGGTGGTCAAGCAGTGACAGTTGCCATGCATGATGCCCCTATTAAAGAGGTTGCTTGGATCCCAGAAATGAATGTTTTAGTCACAGGCAGCTGGGACAAGACATTAAAGTAATATTATCATCTTTCCTCATTTTTGTACCATCAAGAAATCTGAAGTCATTTTTTTTAATATTGGGCCCTAGTGTTAGCATCATGTTATGAGTTCCACAGTTCTTGTGAGGGAAGCCTCACCTTCCTCCTAAGTGGGCTAGTGCCTGCACATCAGAGAAAGTTCCATGCTCAATTCACAAGAAGTCTGATCATATGGCAGTCACAAGTTTTTTTATTTTTTTGGATCATGTTACCTGTTCACCTGGTCTAGAAGGTGTTGTGGCTTCCATGCTAGATCTGTGTTCTATTATGGTATGATAAATTGAGCTTTGATTTTGGGCCAGATGTGGGAGATTTCAGGGGCTATGGAAATAATCTGTAACTTTAGGAAGAAACTCTCTCCACATGCAAACAATATAAATGCAAACTCAGATTAACATACATGTATATTTTGAAGTATCCTTTTTAATGCTAAAGTTGAATTTATTATTGACAACATAATTATTTGGTCTATTATTTGTTTACACGCACACTCTCACACATTTCTTGTGTTATTATCTGGTCATTCACAAATGATAGCTTTTCCATATTACTGGCTATATAATTTCCTTTTTCATCTATAAATTTCAGCAATTTGAGACCTTTACATTCATATGGTTTCAATTAGTTTTTAACCTTTATATTTAGGTATTGGGATACGAGGCAGTCAAATCCAGTGCATACTCAACAACTTCCTGATCGCTGCTATGCACTCACAGCGAAATATCCATTGATGGTTGTTGGCACTGCAGATAGAAATCTAATAGTTTTTAACTTGCAGAATCCTCAGGTAAGTCATAGATTAAGGTTCACCATTTCCTAATTTCTGTCTGTCTTTCACTTTCATATAATTAAGCACCCCCTATCTTGTAAGATTGACCATCATTTTTGTCTTGTTTTATTTTGATGCTATGTTTTGCATTTCTACTATTTCATTTGGTGGTATGGAATATTGTTTTTTCATAAAAGTGGTGGAAGCACTCTATTAATTGGAAATAATTGGGTTGAAAATTCACCCAGTATCTTTCTTTTTACTTCTTATTATAAAATCCAAGTTTAAGTGGTCTATGCTAATGCTGTTTTCTACTGTATCTGAATGGCTGGAAATGATGACTTTAGTATAAATGCTGACTGATTAAATTGAGGAATTATTTCTGTTAATTGTTGGCTTAATCTTTTCTCCTGCATCTTCCTGTCTAATAAGGTTGCTGAAATGCTAACAGACTGAATACAAGAGAGTCATCTCACCCCTGAAGTATCAGACAAGGTGTGTTGCTGCCTTCCCCGACCAGCAAGGTTTCTTAGTAAGTCCTCATTTTGTCCTTTGAGCTGCAAGTTTCCAACAGTGTGACTTCTTTTTAATCTTTTTGCATTGGGCTAAATGGACAAACAACGTTGAAAGACATCATTTTTGTCTGTTGTAAGACATAACGGTTCCTGGAAGCCTCTTTTTCCTAGTGGTTCAGTTTGTATATTTCCATGGTTATAATATGAGTTGTTTCCCCTTATTCCTGCCTCATCTTTTAGATGGTTTTGTTTGGTGCTGCTGTGGTGTCAGTCTGTAATCATTTTTCTTTTCTTCCTTTTCTCTTTTTCTTTCTTTTTGTCGAATCATTGCATGGAGTTGTTGAAGTCTTTTTATTTCTTTAACTATTTTTTTCTGGTGGTACGTGAGCATTATTACTGACTGAATTAAATCAGCAGAGCCAACTGTCTGGTTTTCTAGTTTCTTGCATATTAATTTTTTCTGCAAACTGTTATGAAATAGTTTCATTGCAATTATTGGCTTTGGCATGTTTTCTTTACAGGTTGGTTCAATTGAGGGAAGGGTTGGTGTACACCACCTTGATGATGGACAACAGAGTAAAAACTTTACATTCAAATGCCACAGGGACGGCAGTGAGATATATTCAGTCAACTCCTTAAACTTCCATCCTGTAAGTTCTTTTTTTTTTTTATTTGTTTTCCTATTCATCTTCATGTTGAGTTCTTCAATATTTGTTTCACGGCATCTATGCTGGGTAGATGTTAGTTCTTAACCTTTTTAGGGAAGCAAATGTTCTATGGCTCAGGGTCTCATGTAGCTGTTTATTGTTTCAGGTGCATCATACTTTTGCCACTGCAGGGTCTGATGGTGCTTTTAACTTTTGGGACAAGGATAGCAAACAGAGACTAAAGGTATCTTCGAATCTTTTATCTATTTGAAAAACAGTGAGATCATTTGTGAGACATAACTGTTAACTGTTTTTTTTGCGAATAATCTTCTCTCCTACTTGTGCTAATATGATTTAAAATTGGTAAAATTTGCTTTTTTTTTTTTTGAAAACTAATATCAAAGAAAACAGAGTTTCTCAGCAGTGTCAGAGGATAAGGTAGGTGTGTTAGAAAGGTGGTGCTGTTTGTTGAAGCATGGGGTTTGATATTGCTGGCAGTGGCATCAACTGCCAGATTGTCACTGACACTGACACCATTATGCATTTGGCATCGAAAACCCAAAAATCCTTTCAACAAAATGTATTTTTCAGAGATCAATTCTGCCAAATGAAAAGAGAAATAAATTGGATAGTCCAGCAGCAGGATCATCTGTGTTGGTTTTTTGGTTTAGTCATATAATGCTATCTCTTTCTGATTTTCAGGCCATGTCAAGGTGCAATCAGCCCATACCTTGCAGTACTTTCAACAATGATGGGTCAATATTTGCATACTCGGTATCCCCTGTTTTGCAATGCTGATTTTCTTTATGAACTGGAAAAGATTTGTACAGTGATTCTCACATTGAATTTGCTATAGGCTTGTTATGATTGGAGTAAGGGTGCTGAAAATCACAACCCTTCAACAGCAAAGACCTACATTTTCCTGCACTTGCCTCAGGTACATTAACATGCATGATTTCATACTTGATCATTTATTGTATTCATTAAGCTTTTATTGGGAACACCATAATAAGAAATTTTCACTCTTGAATTCATCCGGTAATGTCTTTTGGAATACAGGAATCTGAAGTTAAAGGCAAGCCAAGAGTCGGAACAAGTGGAAGAAAGTGAAGGTTGATTTTGATTAGAAAATTGTTGAACCTAGAGGAAAGGATTTGCCACTTTTGTTTTTTTTTTTTGCCATTCATTCTCCCTTTCGACAACTAGGATAAGAATTTTTTGTCATTAGGAATGTTTGGTGTTTCATCTTGGGTCATTTGTCTCTTTTAATTTATATTTAGTTTAGAATCTATTGCACCCTTCTGGTTGTTTTAACAGGCTTAATCCTGCCATTCCTACTTTCATTTCAGCAACTGGGATATGACTGAGTTGTCTGTCTAATTAGGGAAGTTGTCTCTTGGGCAAATTTGACTCCTCGAATTTGTGATGAATGTTTGGGCTTTTAGAGTCTATAGAGTGGTTGCTCCATTGCTGGTTGACACATTTTCCACATTTTGTTAGGCCTCTTTTTGATAAAATTATAATTTAAGGCCAACAGTCCTGTGTTCTGGTGGTAAAGTTTTAAGTTCTGTTGGTAGAGTTTTAAATGTGGTCCGTTGGCATGGTGGTAGAATTTTGAAGTCGGGTGGCTTATTGGTAGTCTGTTGGTACGGTGGTGGAGTTTTCAAGTCCTATGGTTTATTTATTGGTAGGCTCTTAGAGTGATTAGTGATCACGATTTCAATTCTGCTAACTTCATCTAAAAAAATTATAATTAGGCGATTCATTTTTTTTCTTTTTGAAAAAAAAAAATTGCAGCACATACGATTTCCTTTGTATTATCTCTATAAGTTCACAACGTTGGTACATATAATGGGCGAATTTGTTCATCCTAATTATTAATTAGCACCGTGCCCTAAAATCTGCAATAATCAAAACTTGGCTTAATAATTGTGAATTTTTTATTGAAGAGGGTTGAGGTTTAAAGTTAATAAAAGATTAAAGATTAGAGTTGGAATGTTTTTGATATGTTTCAAAAGTAAAAGAAGTTAAATCTATATAAATGTTTCATTCACAATTGCAGTTACAATAATAAGACAAAGAAATGGAAAAACCAAGTCAACACGTATTAAAAATGCAAGGTAGCTTTTGTAAGATCATCCTAGTAGTGTAATTATCAGAGTGATTTTATTATTAAAGGGATTTTATAGTTATAAAACATTTTATGAAATTAAAAGTATTTTCTTTTACAAAAACAAAAACTAAATAAAGTTTATTCATGATCCCTTTTTCAATTACATACAGATGACCAGTATTAAAAACATTTAGCCCCTACAAATTCAACATTTAGTTTCAAATGTTTCGAAAATTCAACATTAAATTATTTTAGTTCTAAAAAATCCAATTGATTAATTGTTTTTATTTAATTTTTAGCACCATGTCAGAAAAATTTTCATAATAGAAATTTTTATAGATTGGAAAAATTCATTAACACTGACTTTTTTTTAGTTTATCTTTTTCTTTTCATGAAAAATTTTGCAGATAAATCTAATACCATCAATATAACTTAAAGAGCTTTTAAAGGTAAATCACATGTGTACATAGGCTCAGTTTGTTTTCAGAAAATGGCTTCCAAAAAATCATTTATGTACTTTTTGATATATGTTTGGCAAAAAATTAATTGGTCAACAAAAAATATTTATTGAGCAATAAAAAATTATATTTCTTTTATGAAAATTATCTTTCTTAATAGAAAAAGAAAAATAATTTTTAGAAGCAGGGATTACTCATCAAGCCCGTCTGCTTAGATAAACTTAATATAAAAGTAAGTTCTGAAATGTTCGAAAGGGTTATATTTTATTGACTAGTATTATATGTATATATATGCATAAAGCATGTTATAGATATATAAAGATAAAGATTCTAATTACATAAAATTAGAATTTTGATTAACAGTTGACACCTTTTAGAGTGGACTTTGAAAATACACATCCTTGATATGTTGCTGAGATCCTGCTGAAGATGATTCTCTAGATTATGCTTGATACTGTAATTACTTCTGTGCGAGTCAATCTTGGTGCCATTATTGCTTGATTGTAAGTTGGTGTTGCTAGTGATTGGCACATGAATTCAAATAGTTATGCAATAGCGGTATAGCGGCCGTTATTCAGCGGAATTGGCACTCACTGCCACCGTTATTCAATTGATATTGGGTGCGAAGGAAATTCACATCTTTAGCAGTTTATTGCGGCTGCAAAAAAAAGTCATAGTGGCTAATAACGGCAATAACGAGATGCAATTGACACTAATTTTGTTTTTTTTCATGAAGAATTTTTTTTTCATCATCAAGCATTAAAATTTCAAAATTTAACAAAGTAAAGCCCCAAACATAAAAATGAAATCCTAGATTTATAATGACTCAGTAAAAAAACAAGCTCAATAAAAAATCAAGAAAAAATTTATTGAAATCAAGTAATAATAAAACACTTAAATTTATGTTTTCTTCCTTATTTAAGTGTTTGCAAATTTGTGTTGTATAGGACTTAGAAAAACTTAAGACCATAGAAAGATTTTGCTTGAAACTTTAAAATTTCAAAAACCCATCTATAAGAACACTGTGGGCGTGGGTTTGGGACTGTGCTGGTTGGATCAAAGAAGAAAATCAGATGAGTCATTAGGTAAAAAGTTGAATGAAGGTGGAAGCTTGGAGGCTGGTTGGTTGCCATGGTTGATGGATGATTTGCAGGAATGGTAGAAAGCAAGGATTAAGAACAAAATGAAAGAAGTTTGAGTGGAAAGCTTTGGAGGATGAGGGGAATTTTGAAAGAAATATTTGAGTGTAAGGGGGAGTTTGGTGGGCATTAAGTTTGGTCAATGCTTAACCAAACAAAATTTTTTTTTTTATAAATTTACGGGCAAAGTTTTGGGGAGAAATAGTTAGTTAAAATTGAAAAGTTTTGAGAATTAATTTTGATTGAGAAATTTGAGATGAAAGAGTTTAATGTAAATTTGAAAGGTATATTATATTATAATTTAGATGAAAAAAATAAAATATTAAATGATTAATATATTAATTTGATTGTTGATTTCTATCTTTATTGGGATTTTATTAATGATTTTATTGTTTTAATATTTGTATGTTGTTAATTTTCTAAATGTGAATATTTTACTATAATATTAAAAAATTGTAAATAATTTTTATATAAATAAACTAAGATAAAGCGTCATTAATTACTTTAAAAATCATGAAAAATTTTTTTATGATTATTATTATAATTAATATGTTTTTATAACAAGTTGTGCAAATTAAAAAAAAAAATTCACGATCGCGATAATTGTAATGACCACGATGATATCCGTTATATTCGTAATCGCAATAAATGCAACGTGACAAAAAATGTGTCTGCGACCATAATTTAAATCCTTGGATTGGCATGTGTGTTACTGATGCTCATGGTTTCTGTGTGTCTCCTCTGAGTGTTCGATTTTGCTAAGTAGTACCCTTAACATGCCTCCATAAGATGATGAAGCCATTAGCTATACCAATCTTAGCCCTAAGAAACACAAATCTTTGTTGAGCAAGAGGTTTTGTGAAACCATATGCAAGCTAATTTTTAGTAGAAGTATAAGATACAAGAATCTAACCAAAATGAACATACTTATGGACAAAATGATAATCAAATGCTAAATGTTTCATTCTAGAGTGAAACATTGGATTGGAACTAAGGTAGGTTGCTCTGATATTGTCAAACTAAATAGAGGATGGAAGTTTATAAGGTAGGCATAACTAAGTAAGGAGATTTTGTATTCATATAAGCTCACCTATTGTATTGGTAATAGCTCGATATTTTTCCTTTGTAGATGATCTAGTAACTAATTTTTGTTTAGAGGATTTCTAAGAAACTGGACTAACTCCTAGATAAATAACATAGGCTATGGTTGAGGATTTCTAGCCCAATCAAAGTCACTAAATGCTATTAGAGTGAGAGTGCTGAATTTCTTTACAAACAGTCCATGATAAATAATTCTTTTTAAGGTACCTAAGAATTCTTTTTAAACAAGATTGGTGATACTTGCTATGTGCATGCATAAATTGTGAAGGTTTGTTGATAGAGTAAGCAAGGTCTATCATAACATATAGATCTGAAAATTAATAACTAGACTTAACAAGAGAAGTTGCCACCAATTTTTTTTTTAAGTGTGATTGGCCACCTAATGAATCTATCTTTTTAAGGAGCTCCTAAGCTTGACTAAAGGTCCTTAAAAGAATAGATTCTAGTATACTAATTAGAACAGGGTTCGAAAGTTCGGCTACAAAAAGGGAAGGTTATAGCACCCTTATATGCTTATCCAAAGGATGGTACTATTTTATTTTAACTTATCCTAAGGTCTTCATTCAATGGTCTTAAATTTAATATTAGAAATAACTTTTAAGATTCTTCATCAATCTAGTAAAATTCTTAAAAATACTTTCCTACCTTAAAAATATTCAAGAATCTCAATTATTTTCTTGAAAAGGCTCTTTTGTTGGAAAAATTTAATCATTTTTTTATTTTAGTTTTTTTTATTGAAAATATATCTAATTATTCCACCATTTAAGCCAAATTAAAAATATCTTATCACCTAGAAATTTCTTAGATAATCATCCATTCGTGATTACTAAGAATTTCATCATCAAAATTTATTTTTTATTTTACAAGTTTTATTTTTAAATTTTCTTCAATTTGGGTCTATTTAGAAAAAAACTTTTGTTAGTTTCTTAATATTTTGGAAAGAAAATAATATGATAATTATTTTTTAAAGTTTCATTTAAATTCTTCCACAATTTGGGACAAATTGAAAGAAATTTTTCACCTAGAGATTTCTTAAGAAATTTACCATTTGAAATTTCTAAGATTCTCATTTTGGATAATTTTCAAATATTTTGAACCAAAAATTTTTTTATTTGGAAAAAATACAATTACTTTTATTGAAATTTCATCTAAATTATTCCACCATTTTGGAAAAATTTAAAGAAATTTATCATCTAGAGATTTCTTAAAGAATTTACTATTTGAAATTTTAAAAATCTCATCCTTGGGTAATTAGTATTTAATTCCAAGATTTTAAAAATTTTTTATTTTTATTATTTTAAAAAAATTGAAAATAAATACTAATTATTATTATTGAAACTTTATTAAAATTATTCAACCATTTGGGATAAATTTAGAAAAAATTTCTCACGTAAGAATTTCTTAGAAATTTACCATGTAAGATTTCTAAATATTCCATCGTTGGATAATTATTATTTATTCTTAAAAAAATTTATTTTGTTTTATATTTTCTAAATTTTTTTAATTTTTAAAATTTAATCATGCAAAATACTTTCAAAAATAAATAATAAATAAAATAAAAAAACAAAAAACCATAAATGGCTTGGCTTGATAGCTTAGAGGATATAGCTCGGTTGTAGGCAAGGGAGGCTATTGGAAAGCACGACTCGCGGCTTAGTTTGGTTGGAGCCAAGGATAAGATGCAGATTGAAGAAGCGGGTCAACACTTGGGTCGGGTCATCCATTGGAAAACATGCGGATCCTAAGGGTTGCTTAACGCCAAAACGATGTTGTTTCGGTGAGGGTATAAAAGGGCCAAACTCTTTCTTTTCATATTTTTTCCTCTCATTCTCTCTCTTTTTTTCCTCTATCTCTTTCTAAAACTGATGAATGCTCGTGTCGTTTTCTAGGATTCCTTATCAAAATCTGAGAATATTGCCAGAAACTTCACTGGAAACTAGAATTTTTGTCGAAAACTTCAAATCTTGTTAAAATCTTCACTGAATTTTGAAAAAATTCATCAGAATCTGAAAAGTTTCCAAATTTTTCCAAAAAAAGTCTAAAATGTT